CTTCGGGTTACACCAGCTCTCAAATGTACCACAGAAAACATTTTAATATCCTCTTTGCGTTGAAAAGAGGCTGAACTGCCAACTCTTATTACACAACTTAGGATGGTATATTTGTTTTTAAAATGATGAAATGATATAGGTTTAACGCCCCTATCAACAGTATTATTAGGTATTTAAGACATAGCGGTTAGCGCTTTGCTATCGCTCGCATGAGACCTCCAAGTATAACGTCCATATCCGAAAGAACATGGAAAATATGAAATATATGTAAAGTGATTTTCCCAAAGACACGTCGAACCGAACTGATCCTCGAATCCCCGAACCCTCAATCTCACGATTACGTAGCCTAACCACCGGATGGCCCATTATACAAGCAAATAATAGAATGACAGGAAACAGGATAATTTTAGTACTAATGATTATTTCTGTATAATCTGTGTTTCATGCATAGAGCTACATAACATTCGAAGTATATGTACATTTTCTGCCGTAAGTTGTGTATGAATTTTAGCTTATTGGTCACAAACTAAGAGACCCTCCCCTTTCCCCGAGTTCTCGAACCTTCTGGGTTTAGCATGCTTTTCTCAGGTCACTGAATACTGCCCAATACTGGCCTGGTAAGTAAGTAAATGTTTGAAACTAACGCCCCTTTCAACACTATTAGGTTATTTAAGAGGCGAGTCCCTCGAATTTAACGCCCATCTCCGGTAGGACTGAACCGAAAGGGTTGAGAGTAATGAAGACTCCACTAAACGACCCGAGTTCAAGAACTTCCAGTAGGGAATGCGAACCAGTGCCGTCCACTCCGTAGTCCAGCTTGATATACCACTGAACTGACAGGGCGCCCAAATACTGTCCTGCAGAAGCTCCTTCACGCATGTTTCATTTTATCATTTCAACCGAGATTCCTTACTTACGGGGTAGTATCCTACCTGAATTTTCCACCCTACTCCATTTTAAAAATAAGCAAAGAATTAAGCGTCTTTTGCGAATGGTGGCACGGCGACCTACATGTAGCCTCCATAGTCATAATATTTTAAAAACTTGTTGAAGACGCGCTGTTTTTAGGGTACTTTAGAAAGTATGGATGTAATTCATTATTCTAAAAGACTGTCAATTGTGGGTTTTTTTAAAAAATCTAAAACTTATAAAAGTTGGCAACAATATGCATAATGAGGAACAAGCAAATTAAAGTCTCTGATTTGTATATGATTGTTCGAAATGTGCAGCAACATTACCTTTGGTTTGCTAAGCGTCGGACATATAAGGCTGCAACGTCCTTAAAGATTTCATGTCATTTTTTTACACGAGTACGTCGGTCTTTCTGCTTGGGTGTATCCCTCTCAGCCCGGATTGGCGCTACAAGCAGGGTCGTAAGTCCACTTCTTAAATGATCTAAATTTTGACGATGGTGGGCGTACAAACTCATACATTTAAACATTTATTACGCTTTTTATTGAATTTATAGTTATCCTGTTCTTACACAACATGCATAACTCTAGCGATAAAAGTAAAGTTCAATCCCCAACTGTAAATTAGGTTAAAGCGTCTTTCACTCGATGACCTTACGAAGACCCAAACGCAGCTCCACAGAGAGTGGAGACTCTGGTGTGCGTACTGCTCCTAGTAAGTTCCTTGAGGGTGACTAAAGTTTACTATTACCCTCTGTAGCTGCTAGCTATATTGCTAATGAAAATAGTGCTGCCAAAACGATGCTATCCTTCAAGTATCTCTCCTCTGGGTCTGTCATTATTCTCCCGTCTTAGCTGTTGATACACTTTGCTAAGAATATTAGCTTTATAATATTATTGTCTTTCTGTATTTATGATTGAACAGTTCTTTGAAATTGGAGCGTGGTTAGGTTCTTTGATTTTTGTCACATTCTTTTTCTAGATGTAGTTTTCTTTCTTATCTGATGTCTAATTTTAATTTCTCTGTTTAGCCTTTTGAATTCAAGCCTGTCAAGTATGGCCATATTGGTGTTTGTGGTGTAGCAGTTAGTTGTTTCGCTTTCTCACGAAGGAGACCCGAGTTCGATATCCGAGTGGAGAGAAACTTTTTATCGAATATCGCCATCTTTCTACTGAGATGTTGTATCCCTCTCAGCCCAGGTTGGCACACACTTGCAGTGTCAGAAGCCAGCCTCTTAAATGATCTAAATTTTGTCGATGGGGGCGTAAAAACACCTGCTTGGAAAAAAAATTATAGGGCCATTTTTTACGACAACAATCTATATCTCTCGGCAGATTGCAAACACTCTGAGTGTTATGGTTCGTCAACCTTGAACACTGAGACATGTGCCTGCGAATGTAAAAAATTTGATTTTCTCGAAGCTCCTGACTGCCACGGTAAGTTCATTACTTTTCCATTATGTGTGTGACAGTGTGTGTGGGGGGGTTTCTTTTTAAGGGGGGGGGGGCATTTTCTGTGGCATGAAATGCAAGAATTTTAGCAAATTGATAGCAGGTTTAGAAGAAACCCCCAACGTTGGAGGGAA